CTCATGCAGTCTCCTAAAACAAACATATGCATCCTCTCTGACTCAGCTCCATTCCCAGGAATTTTCAACAGGAAGGCATGTATGTGCTTGGCAAAGCACACACACAGCTGTCCCTTGGTATCTGAGGGATCAGTGCTGGGACCCTCAGAGGATACCCACAGCCTTGGGTGCTCAAGTCCTTTTGGCGACATGGTGTGGGATTTACACAGAGCCCACACACATTCTTCTATATGTACTGGAAACCATCTCTAATCACTGATAATACCTAGTACATGTAAGTGCTATGTAAATAGTTGCCATACTGTGCTGCTTAGGGAATGATGCAAGGGGGGAAAAGTCTGTACATATTCAGTTTCAGACAATGGCTGGCTGAATCTATAGGTATGAAATGCCTAGATATAGAGGCAATTGTACTTTGACGTCCACAAAAGCAACATGGGGTAGCAAGCAAAGCTGAAAACTCCACAGGAGAGCAAGAGGAGACCTGCAGCTGATGATTCTGTCTCCTGATCTGCATGCTGGTTCCACAAGGAGAGGCATTCTCTAAGTACATTAAGCTGTGCTTGCTCCTAAATTAAATTACACTCTACATTCAGAAAAGTAAAATCAGCAGAAATGTACTGCTATTACCTACTAATAAAACTATTAGAATTAAAACATTTGTCACACATATAAAAATGGTCACTTGATTTTACCTGTGTGAGCACCTTCATGTCAATCTCTTGAGGGTCAGAAAGAAAACAGACCCCAAGGAAACAAAAAAAGGATGAATCACCTTTTATAAAACCATAACTCTTGATATTTTAAAACCTTAACTCTTCACTTTTGGCTCATCCTCAACCCAGCGCCAGAAAGTAGTTTTTGTTTTCTGTTTCAGGGCAATTAGGACGAGCAGTGCATTGAGAATGCGGAGGTGCTCTTTGGGCTGAGGTCTAGGAGACACAGACAGCTCTAAATTTCTGTGTCTGTCCTGATGTGCACAGGGCTTGGGGGCCAGGTCAGGTCATGACAAAATAGAAAACTGTATTCTCTACATACCTGTCTGAGATAAAGTTATAGATATGTTTATTCCATTTCAATGGAGAAACAAAAGTGCTCAGGATTTTGTAGGAATCCAGTAATTAAATGACCAACAAATGCTTTTCTAATTACACAAGATCAGGCTGTTATGGGGCTGTAAGAAGAAGCAGTTTCTGCATCTTTCTCCTTTTGGAGGATTTAGAGTCCACCTGAAGAATACAGATGCATACATGTTAGTGGGTGACATATGTTCATATGTTAACATCCAGTAAGTGGTAAGTCTAGAAAAAAGTGAAAAGAAAAGGAAGGAAAAATATCAGGAAAGAAAAGAAAAATATTTCAGAGTTCTTGGCCATCAGGAAAGGCTTCTTCGAGGCAGAATAGGATAGAAAGATAATTATCTTCCATCAAATAAGTTTGGTTTTAAATTTGAGTTCTTTAATTTGCCAGCTGTAAGCAGTTACTTAACCTCTTCGAGCTTTTAGGTTTTCATCTGTGAACTGGAGCTACTGCCTATAACTTCTAGTCTGTGAGGTTGGAAGGGGCCCAGTGAATGAATAACTTCTGGTCCTCTGGTCTGCATTCCTGCACCTTCTTGTGGAGGAGTCAGAACTGGAGGATTTTGCCTGACCTTGGGCATTACAGAGGGCAGTAAGAAGATGGGAAACTGCTGAGGGCCAGAGAGTGGGAGGAGAAGGGCATATTCAGGGTTTGAAATGCAGAATAAATAACAAAAGTCAGTCACAGTAGAGAGCGGTCAATACTTGAAAGCAGGGGAGGCAGTGCATGGGAGACCTGCCACAAACAAAGCTAAGAAAGTTTCTCTGGGTTAGGAAGCACAGTCAGTTTCTGGTTATGGTGAGGGAACCAGAAATATAGATGACATAAGCCCTGCATATTTTGGTTTCCAAGGGAAGAAGAATAGCTACACTCCCCTCAATTTAGGACTGGGGTCAGAAGAATCCCCACCCACAGTGAAGCCTCTTCCTTTTGGCCCTGTAGGATCCCAGAGATGGGGAGCTCCTTGGGGTCTATATGCTCAGGAAAGATAGTCCCCGGGCCTGAGAGACTGGTACTCCTTGGATCTAAAGGAGGAACTGAGGGTTTAATTCGGGCAAGTGCCCCACACAGATGCATCTGGCAGAAGTATCCTATCACAGACTTATTATTCCTTACCTATACAGCAGGGCAAAGCCACTTGGTCTGTTAAGAGCAGTACCTGAAAGGTGCCAGAGAGGGAAGAAGAGAGGGCAAGGTGAAATCTCATTCCTCCCAGATGGGAATTGTGATGCGAAATCAGGGGACTCATTTCCAAGAAAGAATGGGAAGAAAAGGCCTAGTTACCTGCTTTCATTCAAAGTGCAAACTCCTGGAGGATTTAAGGTGAGTCTACCCAGACAGCTAATATGCCATGATATTCCCTGTGTAGCTTCTTGCTGGAATTCCATTATCAAAAGCATGAATCCCAGCCAGGCATGGTGGTGCATGCCTATGATCCCAGCTCTCTGGGAGGCTGAGGCAGTAAGATCACCAAGTTTGAACCTTGCCTCAGCAATTTAGCAGTTTATCAAGACGGTCTCAAAATTAAAAAAAATTAAAAAAGACCAAGAACTAGCTCAGTGTGAAGGCTCCGAGTTCAGTCCCTTAGTACTATAACAGACAAAAATGTGACTTCCTCATCAAACTGTTTATTTCTATGTAAAAAATAAAAGTTCTGAATTAACCAGTTAAGCCATGATCAGTCTCTGCTACACCTAGGTTTGGCTAGGTTTCTCCAATCAGTTCTTAAGGACATGTTTTCCAAGGCTGGGGGAGAGAGAAAACTAGGGTAGCAATGTCTGCCTCCCTGGGAAAAGGTGTCCTGCAGGGACAGGAGTCGCAGTGGGTGGTGGCATCCTCCACTTCATCTGCAGCCCTTTGGTACTCAAAGAGCTGGATGTCACCTCTCTTCCCAGCATCTGCAACAGCGCAGGACATCCAAGAACTAAGGGATAAAGACCCCTCGGTCTCCCCAGAAAGGTCAGCCTTGCAATCTCTGCATGCTTGTATTTTGGGCCCTTTCTGAACCGATTTCCTCCTCAGCCCCCACAGGCTCAGCATCAATAGCAGAATATGTGCTAGGACTCCAGCTCCCAAATGTTCCCAATACCTGTCAGTTAGAAATAATCACTACTATACTTTATATCAGTGCCTGGATTCTGGGTCTTGCCAGATTTGGGGTGGCACACGCCTGTAATCGCATAACTCTGGGAAACTGAGGCAGGAGGATCACACATTCTATTTTTGTTGTTGTTGTTGTTTTCTTTCCGGTGCCGGAAATCGAACTCACGACCTCGCGCGTGCCAGGCAGGCGCTGTGCCGCTGAGCTAAATCCCCAGCTCTGAGGATCACACATTCTAGCCAAGCTTGAGCAATTTGGCGAATTAGGGAACCCCTGTCTCAGAATAAAAAATAAAAGAGGCTCCTTTCTTGGAGAAGGGCGGGGTGTTTGCTTGTTTATCTACTGGACGCACTGACTCTGGAAACAGCCCGCAGACCCTGGCCAGGACTCAGGGTGATCCCTCCGCGGGCGCCTCCTCTGCCCTGCTCCGCCCACGCTTCCCTTCCTCCGAGCAACAAGTTCTCTTTTGAGCGACCCGCCCGCGCGCCACAGGCCGGCACAGCGCCTCCTCCCCCACCTCCGCCAAACTCGTCGTCAGAACCAGCTGGGATGGAAATCGCGGCGGCTGCCCACGCCTTCTGCGGGCGGGAGAGCCCGACGCCAGCGACGCCAGGAGCGCTCGCAGTGGCTGGGAGGGAGACGCGAGGCTGAAAGTCAGGATGGGAGTCCCCGGATCCAGGGCCCTTCCAGGCAAAAGCAGCACCCGGTTGCAGCCACCGCGCACCTTGCGCCCCTCTGCTCCGGGGCCCAGGAGGAAGGGATGGGGCCCGAAACGTCCCCGATGTCCATCCAGCCTCCTGGTAGCCAGATGCATCCTTCTGTCCTTCGTGCTCCCTCCAGCCTGCTTCACCCTCCCTCCACCCCACCCCGCGCCAGGTCCCCTGAGGACACTGGAGATCTCGACACAGTCGCGGCTCCAGAGCTGCACTCTTGCTCTTTCTCCCCTTGGGTGCCCTGGCGCCTCCAAAGGAATCCAGAGGCGTCTGAGCTACCCAAACAGTTGGTCTCTCTCAACTTCTTGGAGTGGGGATCCCCGCGCTCTCCTGGGAAAGCCAGGCTGGCCGCCCACGGACCGGGAGAGGACACCTCAACTTCTTCCTGGGGAATTCCCCTCCAAATCGACCTCTCCCCCTGTTCTCCCGCCAGCTGGGAGTTAAGGATTCGGAGCCGACCAGGAGTGTGCTCGTGGTGGTGGGGCGGCCGTGGACGGGGGGCCAGGGCGCAGAAGTTCTGCTTGGATCTGGGGAGAGAGATCGATTCATGCCACAAGCCTCCTAGAGTCAGGAAGCTCTTGTCCCCAGAAAAGCGCCAGGACCAAGTCGCCGGGAGTTAGGGAAGCCCGGCAAGGCGCGGGGTCGAAGAATACCGAGGCGAACAACAGTGTCCACTCCTGGTGCCTGTCGGCGGGAAACGACTCTTTCTCGGGGGTGGGGGTGGGGGTGGGGGAGACATCATTGGCAAAGCGGCCGAAGCCAAGCCCAGCTGTTGGGGCTTCACCCCTCCAGCCTCAGCCAGCCCGGAGAACTTGGTACCTCGGACAGCAGCCCGGGCGCACAGCAACGTTTGCAAGGTGTTACCCTCTTGACGCCGCCACCAAGTCAAAGAGCAATAAATGGTTTTGATGACCTTACTAGTGCAGACGAAGGACATTTTAATTACATAACCCTTGAAAGATCACCGGAGGCAGTGTCGTGTGTAAGCGCCGATGGCAGAATATCTGCATCGCAGCGGAAAGAAAACTTGCAAATCTGCAGGGAGATTGCGCAGGGTTGCTGCCCGTCGCCTGGAAGCGACATGCAAAATGCACAGGAGAGCTTACCTTTCGGACTCCGAAGCCGTGCTCCGCGGCAACTTGGCGAGCCTCTTCCTCTCCCCCTTTATGCAACTCCACGAGGAAATGATTGGTGAAGACGGGTCTCTCGGAGGATGCAGAAACCATGACACAGAAGAGGAGCCCGGCGGCCGCCGGCCACCGCGAGCCACAGCCCCGCTGCATCCTTCTCCGGAGTGAGAAGTGGGGCTGGAGGCGCGCAGCCTGCTGGACAGGGCACCCGGAGGGAAGGGGCCAATTAAAAATAGGTATGGAGTTTTTGGGTTTTTTTTTTTTTTTTTTAAATCTTTGTATGGGGAGAGGGACTGAGCGGGGGTTTGGGAGGCAGCCGATCAGAGTGCGTCCGCCGTCTGCATCTGGCTGGCGGGGAAGCCGAGCAGCCCCGCGGCGCGGCTCGCAGGGCGCGACTGGAAGCTGTGTGCACTGGAGAGCGACAGCGAGAGCGAGTGGCTGGATGCCGGTGTTGATGCTAAATCTGCATTTTCGGCTCCTCCTCGGCTCCAGTTCAAGGGGGCCGGAGGCGAGCGCCAGCCTGGGTGACGCGCGCCCGCCGGCGGCCAATGGGGGCAGAGCCG